AGAAAACTCTATTATCACAAGTTAACTCCTATTTGACATTTTCTTTACCCTGACAGAAAAGAATATAAATAAATAAAATTTCCTCTATATAGACCACAAGAACTCCAAGTATTTTTTCTTTATTTGACATTTAAATAAAATATAAGTGAATTCTATTTGATGAACTGCTAGTTAATAAATTCCTAGTTTTCAAAATGGCCAAAATTAGGTCCAGAATGTGAGCATGTAAATGCAAGGTAACAATAAACTGTAAGGAAGTCTTCTGATCAAGCACTCCCCCGGGATCCAAACAATGGGCAATAATTTCAGCAAAGCTGTGGGCAGGGATGAGCAGCCAGTGGTATACAAATTTCACAGTGCTGGCCTGCCTACTGACTCAACTGATTATTAAGTCAAAAATACTTTATGTTGTGTTTTATAGTCTCACCCAGAATAACTTTTCACATAATAATTAATTAAAAAATAGAACTGTGTATAAAAAATATGGAAGTGAAAAAATAGATCATAATCACAGTGTCCATGTATCTCTCTGTAATTAGTAAGGAGAGAGGCCTGGAAGATACCTGAATCAGTTCACATTAAAAAAAATGTTAAGTTTTCTATAGAGTACAATATAACAGTATATGTATTTATGGTGTGACTATAATGTAATGAAAATTCAGTTTACAGTTAGTTTTACTAGTTTATAGTCCCTCCCTTATGATATATAACTTACCATTTCATACTCAGGATGAAATAGTAGCATGACCCAAAGTCAGTCATATCTAAAGAGTAAAACGAACCTTCTTAAATCTCACAATGTAGAGCTGCCTACAATAACTAGAATGAAAGTCTCTCCTTAGCCAATGGAATTTCAGACTTGAGCAAGGAGGTGGGGAGTCACACTTAGGCAGAAGAGTTCTTTAAATAATGAGACTGACTCAAGCGGTCCTGAAAGGAAATCTGATGACATAGTCTCTTTGAAAACATCTACGGATGGAGCACAGGAAAGACTTCCCAATGGTACCCTCCACGCAACGCCAGCAGAATGATGGCCTCTCCCCATTTCCCCTGCCCCCCAGCTTCCCCTCAAGTACCTAGATACACATTTTTGTATTTTAGCACTTTCAATATGTTCTAATTCACATTAAAGAATTTCTCTAAGAGCAAATATCTCTCATTTTAGAGAGGATCTTCATACCAGGTATATTATTTCTGAATACATTTAGGAGGTTTCTGGCAGAAGTGTGTTAATCAGTGCTTAGATCTCCTCATTACAAGTGGAACCAAGATACTAACCATGGCTTCATTCTGCTGACACTATCCTCGATGTCCTGCCTGATTTCATAAGTTGATTCTAAGCGGAAGAGATTAAAGTTCCTTAGGAGGTAATCATGAAGAGTCAAAAACTGCAAATTTAACTTGGGAAGAGCAAGACAACCTGAAAAGAAAATAACAACCAGATTTGAATCATTCTTTTAATCAGACATCTACTCTATGTATTAAAAAACAAAGGCAACACATATCTGGTAGAAATCTAACTCAGTGATGTCTGAAATACAGCATATTTGATCGCATCTTATTTTCATTTTCACACAGAAATTGAAATCAAGTTAACAAATGCTGTCTATTAAGAACTGGGAATGAAGGATGGATTTCATTATGCAAATAGTGCTTCTAAAAAGCATTTGAAGATAATTAAAACTAATATATAATCTCAAATAGTTGAAAAATTCTTTATCACCTAATTTCTATTTGGCAAGTCTCAAAGTAAATAATGCCACTATAAACTCAGCTCATGACAAAATTTACCATGAAAACTGAATTTGTGTAGTATATTGCATAAATATATTTCCAATGTTTGCTACTGTGCTCTCGACCTTAGCCTTTTGGCTAGACTTTAAGGGTAAAGCATTGGTACTAGGTTATTCTTGGAGTTACTTCCCTTCTTGGACTATATTAATGAACAATATTCTTTCCATTATACTCCCTTCCACACTACGTCCTTTAGATAGTAAGTGACCAAGTACTCAGCAGCAATACCAAAAAGGTTAAAAACAAACAGAACACCCAAAACACATTATACTGGCAAATATTATTTTCATTATCTCTATCTGTACTTACCAAAGCCATAATGAACCTAAAGGCAAGAAACATCAATGTGCAAAAACTTCCCATCATTTGTTAGTAAATTCTGATTTATAATCTAATTCAGTATCTTTTAGGCCAGAGGTTGAGGGAAAGCATCTCTTCTGATAGCATGTTTTTATTTAAAAAAAAAAGGACAAAAAAAGGTCACCACTTTGCAACTCTTTACTGAATTAACCAATATAGGTGATAAACAGCAATGGCTAGTATCACAAAGAAAAGAGAGACAACTGGACATTATGTGCTTTCTCATTAAACACAACCAAGAATCTTGCCAAAGAGAGAATCTCAGCCTGATCAAGCCTCTGCATCCAGCTGCCAATCTGCAGTAAAAATAGTGAGCAGAGGGACATGCTGAACTGTATTGTGAGCAGTCAACTAGAAAAATCTGGACTGTGAGAGACTATACAGATCAAACAGCTCAGGTTCTTCAACATAGAAAAGGTAGGGATATGGGGGGGGGGTACCTGTACAGTAAGAGACATATGAGAAATGTACAAGATTGTCTGAAGTGTCTAGGGATACACAGTTGGATGATAAAACTATGAAGAAATGAGAGACAGTGACTGCTATAAAAATCAAGAAAGGGATAAAGTGAAGTGGGGAAACAGTGACTAGGGAGGAGCACAGGGGATAGACGGACAGCTGACAAGGTAGTTACCAGGGTTTCACGGTATTTTCCTTAGGGATAATTTGTCTAGGTCTGTATTTATTTTGTGTGGCTTTCTATTGTTGTGTTTATTTTATTAAAAAGGTTAAAAAAAGGCAAAATAATTTATAAGTATTTTCTTTATATATCTGTTCCAATTTCACACTTATCTTCTTTCTGAGAGCTAGAAGCAGTCTGCATAATTATCCAGTAGTAGGTCTGATCTTTGCTTATTTCATAACATCAGATATCAAGCCCCACAAAGTCCCATCCATGGTCAATGAATAATAATGGCACAACATAGCCACATCTCTGTAAACAGCTATAGTACAGTTAAACCATTTGGCAACTAAGACTATTCTGAAATACTTTCATTCTATGTAAGTATAAAGACAAATTTTGAGAAATATTCCTATTCATTTCATTAATCACAGGAGTGAAAGAATAATACTTTATACTATGCAAGTACGTTTTAAACTTAGACCGGCATCGCTGAGTAGTACCAAAAGCTAGATATTAAGACTGTTTACATTTTTGAGGACACACAGACTTTTTATTGAAAAGATAAAATATTCTTAAGTGGTATTTGCCTTTGAGGGACTGATTAGCCAACGAGTTAGATGTATAACATATCATCATAAATGGTTTTAGCATGAACAAATTTAAAAAGTGAGAAAATAATGCTTTAACCACTGTTAAGAACATAAAACATTGTGAAGAAATTGTGTTCTCAAACCTAGCACAATTGGTACACTAACTTTATTGGAGTCACAGCTCCAGATATTACTCTGAAGTATCAACTTTTCTTTTAAATAAATGGATCAATACTTATACTGGTGATGTCTTTAAAATAGCCACACTTCTTATAATGATGATGCTGGTGTTCAAAGGGTTTCCTAAAATTTTTTTTGAAATATGCCTTCAAAAATGTGACAGAATGATACACTTTGGCACATGCTCAATTGTGGTAAATTGTCATACTTAGAGGATGAGCAAGAGCAATTAGAAAACAAATCTGTTGAAACAGGTAGTTGAAGGAACTAGGCAATGCCATTTTGAATCAAAACTCAGGTTTTATATTAACTAATAATGTATTTTTTTTGGTGGTCATTAGCTGGCTTGACAAGGGAATTCAAAAGAGCTTCTGAAAAAGTCTTTGAAAAATAAAGCATTGTCAAAGCCTATTATAATGACATAATGAAAGCTATACTTCCTATATTATTACATCTCCTTAAAAGTTTTATTGCTTTATGGTTATATTTTATATATGTATTTTATGTATATATACCATTCTAGCATGTGTGTGTATATGTATATATGCTTGTGTATATGTGTTTGTCTGTGTATATATAGGCATGGTTAAATTTAATAAAAATCCGTACTGCTAACCATTCAAAGTACTGAATAGTTTCTAGCTTCTAAGGTTGAACTTGGGGGTATCAGAAAATTATCCTAATGTATACAGTAGATAGGAGCATTTTCAGTTACATATGATGAGTTCTAAACTAAATTTCACATTACACCTGAATCCTGTACTTCTTTGCCATACCTTCTCCGGAATAGTACTCAGTCGGGACAATATTTTCATCCCATATGATTTTCTCAGTTGGATACAAAGGCATCTGGTTCAGTTGCTGAATCTGAGAAATCCGACGCTCATGACGAGAAACCTAAAAGAAACAAGTTTGTGCAGAAAGTCAAAAACATCTTTTTTTAACCAAAATAATTTGTGGAAAAATTCACCATAAAGTACGGAATAAGTTTCATGTCTCTCAGTACTGTAGCACTTAACAAAAATTTTTATATTCTATTTTCTCCATAAATCAAAGATGAAAGTGGTACCACTCATGGTGGACTTCAGAATCAGACAGATCCAAACTCTACTCCCAGCACTTCTACTTATGAGCTATGTAAAAGCTGGGCAAGTTCTTCAACTTCCTTGATCTTAGTTTCCTTTCAATCAACACAGAGAAAATGCCACTCATCTCTCAGGTTTCTTATGAAAATGAAACGGAATACCATAACAGCATCAAAGTGCCTGGCACATGCCAAGACCTTAAAAACCATAGTGCTAAGTAGTCACCAATGAATAAAAAAAATGGGAGCCCTAAGTCCTAGGTTATAGTTTTCATTCTTATACTAACTAGCTAAATAATCTGGAAAAGTATATTAATAACCTGGCCTCAGTCTTCTTTGTAAAATGAGAGTTGGACTTGAGGATCTCTAAACACCCTTCCATTTGTTAATGTTTTAGCAATCTCTCAAATACAGAAATGAGTTACCTTATTAACAGATGCTAAAATAATGGTATATTTGAAAAGTGTGTTACATTCTCTTCAGTAGAGATAGTAGTTTAGGAAAGAAGATAGTGTGATATCATCTAACCAAGATGCATATTCCAGCATTTTAACTGTAATTTGGATATTAGAAGATCTGAAGGCTGAGGAAATCCTTTAGAAGATAGGAAATGAAGGACAATGTAGCACTATACATTTTTAGAATTGCTTTCTTTTGGCATCAATATTTAAATTTTAAGGACAAAATTGTAGACCTTAAAAGGCATAGTTTTCCATTAGAAAAAATTCTGGAAAAAAAATCCTGATTTCTTTCAATAGTAAGGATTTATTATTAATCCACAAAACCTGACTTATAGGAAATTTTACACTGTGAGATAATAAGACAAGGAATTTTTAGAAAGCACTAGTAGTCAGAACAATAAAAAGTGATTTTTAAGAAGGCAAAGATGGTGATCCAAAGCATACATTGCACACAAATGAACTAATTAATAAAAAAGTATTTTCGACAGTTGAATTAATTTAAAACTCTTTACAAGGATTTCTCTCCACTGCATTTAAATATCTGTCATCAGGCTTAAGATACCTGCTACAAATAGTTCCTGTTACCATCCAAATAACTCACACCTCATCTTCTTCTTTACAGTAAGGTATTGTATTTTACATCCTATATTAAAAGTATTAGCTTGGGATATAAGTCAAAGAAGTGTGTGCCCATTATGGTTCCATATGTGTAAAAAAAATGTACAAACACATCTACACCATGTTATGTTTGTGAAGGTTTTTTAAAATGTCTGAAACAAAAAACTACCCAATTGTATAGCAGTAAGAAAACAAAAATTTTAAACTATTTTTTTACCCATTAGACTGGCAAAAATTGGGACTCATACCATCAAATGTTGGTAAAAGCTTAAGGAAACATACTTTAATACAATGTTGGTCACAATATATGCTGTTTTTAGGACAGTGCAGCTGCATTTTCTTATCTTTTAAGTAAGCATACACTTCAATTAAATAATTTCACTTCTACACACCTCTCCTGAATGTCCATGTATGGGCACAAAGAGGCATGTACTAGGATTACATTATTATTTGTAATAGTAATAAGAACCTAAATATTTACAGGGGGGTAGGTACATTTTATTAAATATTTCTCTGAAGTTAAAAGTAAGGTACATCCCTTCCCTTCAATTTTGCTATGAACCTAAAACTGCACTTAAAAAAATAAGACTTTATCAAAAAAAGTATTATTTTGAGAGATAAAGCCCCTCATTTCCCAAATGATTCAGAAATTCCTTAGAATTCTTAAACCACAAGTGATAACTTACTCTATTTCTAAACGTTTCCGAGTTTTCTAGTGATAAATGTATGGCTTAATAGTCAAGAAACTATATTTAAATGATAACTTTAAAAATAAATATATAGATACAAATTATATATGTATTATCTATGTGTGTATTTATGCGTAACTGTATCAACAGCTATCTATGTATCCCCATTGTCTGAATGCCTGACACAGGGGCTGCTCATAAATATTTACATGGAATGAATTCATGCCATAAAACAGTTTTAAAAGGTAAAAGTTAATAAAAGAAATCTAAGAGATAAGAAAATAAATTTAACAATATCAACTGATGATATAATTCTAAATAGATATGTATTATCAACCTACTCTTTAGTCCAAAAAAAAATCTGTACCAACCCACATCTTTAATAATGATTTTAAAAGGTAGGGAAAAACCATATGCAGAATTCAAAGAACATTAGTATTTACCAGCAATTCCAGAAGAAATTCTTTATCTAAACTTGTCTCTTCATTTTTAGGAAGAGTTGGTAACAAGCAGAGGTATGATGCCACCTGGTGGAGTGTATTTGAACTGCAGAATAAAGATCAATATTTTACTCTCAACTCACTTTACTTCACTTTTGAAGCATGTCATTTTCAAGATTGCTTGAACGGTTTAACCTAGCATATATAATCCCATGAGATGAGCAGCAAATATAAAACATCAGCTATGAAAGTTAAAACTCTAATACAGGGTTCTCAAAGTGTGTTCCTGCAAATCTCTTATGGTCCCTGAGAACCTTTCAGGAAACCTTGCAAGGACAACTTTTTATATTAATTCTAAGGCATTATTTGCTTTTTTCTCCCAGTCTTCACATGTATAGTGACACTGCAAAAACAAAAAGCACTGTAAAATTACTGGCATTTATCAAGCAGTGACACTAGCTAGTACTATATCAAGTAGTCATGGCATTTATCACTGCCACATGCAATTTTTAAAAACTGCCTGTTTCATTTAAGAATGTCCTTGATGAAGTAGAAAAAAAAATTAATGTTATTAAATTTGGACACTGAGTACCTGTTTTTTAAAAAAATTTTTGTGACAAAATGGGAGCAAACATTCTACACAAAATTTTTACTTAAAAGATGACTGAGAAACTGTGGTTATTCAGATTTGTATAAATAGCAAAAACATTTTCATACTTGAACACAATAAGCCAGTTAAATTCAAGGAAAACAACTGACAGTATCTGTTACCGAAGATAAAAATCTGAACTTCCTGAGTGAAAAACTGGATTTTTGGAAAACTTGCATTTGTCACCGCGAGTTTGACAGCTTTCCACTACTTTATAATACAGTATTATCACCTGCCAAAATTCCCTCCAACTCTCTTTACCAGTCCCTGGTAACCACTAATCCTTCTTCAATCCCTGTAATTTTATTCCAGAAGGTCAACTAAATGGAATCATACATTGTGTAGCCTTTTGACATGGGTTGCTTTCACTTGGCATAATGTTAACTGAAATTCAACCCACACTGTATCTATAGTTGGTTACCTTTTATTGCTGAGTAGTATTACATCATATGGACATATCACAGTGTGTTTACTCACTCACCAGTTGAAGGATACTTGTGTATTACTGCTTTTGACAACTGTAAATAAAGCTACTATATACATTTCTATACAGATATTTATGTGATTTCATTTCTCTGGAGTATATACATGAGAATACTAGATCGTACAGTAAGTGCATATTTAACTTTACAATAAACTGTCAGATTTTTCCAAAGTGGCACTACTATTTTGAATTCTCACCAGCAAATTATTCCAGTTGCTCCACATGCTTGTCAAGAGTCAACATATCGGGGTTTTTTTTAAACCTTTTCCTTGTAACCTTTGTAATAGACAAGTAATGGTATCTTCTTATGATTTGAATTTGCATTTCCCTAATGACTAATGATGCTAAGTATTTTTCTGTGGGCTTATTAAAGTCTCTATATCCTCTTTGGTCAAGTACTTTTTCAAATTTTTAGCCATTTTTTGTCAAGTTGTTTTCTTATTACTGAGTTCTGACACTACTAGATCCAGTCCGTTATAAGATATGTGTTTATCCAACTTTTCTCCCAGTTTGGGGCTTGTCTTTTCATTTTCTTAATAATGTCTTTCAAATAGAAGTTTTAAATTTTGACAAGTCCAAATCATTAACTTTTTTCCTTTATAGATTGTGCTCTGGTTTTGGCATCTATGGAAATCTTTGCACAAATCACCATCACAAAAAAATTTCTCTTTCATTTCCTTTAAGTTTTAGTTTTGATATTTAGTCTGTGATTCATTTTGAGTTGATTTGTATATATGTATGAGGTATAAGTGGTTTCATGCTTTGCATATGGATGTCCAAATGAAAGTAACTTTTAAGAAACTACCACCTGTCAAGTTTCGATATAGTACCAAAGAAGAATATTCCCAATTATTTGAAAAAGCCACTAAAATACATTTTCCTCTGTATAAGGCCAGATTCTATTCATTTACTTCAACCAAAACATCTTACAACAAACTGAATCCAGAAGCAAATTAAACCGAACATTAAAGAAATTTGCAAAAATGTAAAACAATGCCTCTCTTCTCATTTTGTATTTTTTTCATTTTGGAGAATCTATTTTTCATTAACAGTAAGTAATATGCTAACATATAATGGATTTTAATTGTTTTTTATTGAATTATCATTGATATACTGGTTTCAAATGTCCAAGACAGTGGTTCAATAGTTACCCCTATTATTAAATCCTCACCCCCTCTAGTGCAGTTACTATCTGTCAACATAGGAGGATGTTACAGAATCACTGACTATATTCCCCATGCTGTACTATGGTCCCCCATGACCAACTTATATTGTAACTGAGAATTATTGTGCCCCTTTATCCCCCTCATTCTCCCCACCCACCCATCACCTCAACCCCTCCCGCATGGTAACCACTAGTCACTTCTCAGTGTCTATGAGTCTGCTGCTATTTCGTTCCTTCTGTTTTGCTTTGATTTTATATTTCACAAATAAGTGAAATCATATGGTATTTGTTTTCTCCCCCTGGCATATTTCACTGAGGATAATACTCTCTAGACTCATCCATGTTGTTAGAAATGGCAAGATTTCTTTTCTTTTTATGGTTGAATAATACTCCATTATGTATATGTACCACATCTTTTTTATCCTTTAATTCATTTCTTATATGAATTATTTAAAATTTTTCTATTTTTAATTTCTAATATAGTAAATACAATGCCTGTAATCTACATTTTAAAAAGTTATTTGAGATCCTCAATAATTTTTAAGAGTGTAAATAAGTTCTATGGGCAAAATAAACTCCCCCAAATTTACGTATGGATTATACAGCTAAATTAAATGTAAAAAAAATTCTGCAAAAGTGCTTTAAACATATGAGATAATATTTTTGTAATCTTATGGTGAAGAAGGCTTTCTATATAAAGCATTTTTCATTGCTATTGAAGATTGGCAGATGTAATAATTAAAAATTTTAAATATCTATAATAACAAAATATATCAGAAACAAAATTTAAAAGAAACTGACAGAAAATAACTGCAACACGAATTAGACAAAATATTAGTACCCAAATATGTAAGAGTTGCTTAAAAAAGAAATCAACAAAACAGTAAGCAATGGACTGTAAAATACCAAAGGATAATAATACAAAAGTATAGAAGAAATGCAAATGGCCAAAACACTAGAAAAATGCTCAATTTCTCCAATAAAATTAAAGAATACAAAGTAAAACAGTGAGAGTTTTTTTTTGTCCTTAGAGTGGAAATAATTTATCCAGTGTTAGTAGGGAGAGAAAATCCACATACACTGTTGCTGTAAGTGTTTAACTGGCATATTTTGTAAAGGAAATTTAGCAATGTATTAACAACTTTTAAGCATATAACCCCTAAGAATCAGCCACTCTGCTTCTGAGAATCAGTACCAAAACTTTGCATGTAGAAGTAAAAAGGATGTTCACTGCCCAATTGTTTGTCATAGACAAAAATGTTAACATTAGAGATCTGTCACTAGGACAGTGACTGAAAAAATAGTAAATGTATTCAGTGGAACTCTATGCAGTTATTGAAAAGAATAAAGTAGCTCCACATGCTATTATTACAGTTATTATTAAATAATCATACAGAAATGAAGAACCAACTTCTGTCTGTTTCATTTTAAATAGCCAATGAACTAAATTTAATTTCTCCCACAACTTACCAATGATGGTAGGTTACAGAAGTACAGTGGTTAAAAGTTGGGACTCAGAGGTCAGACTACCGAGGTTTAAATCCTATTTCTGTCACTGACTTGCTATGTCACCTAGGCAAATGATTTCACTGTTTTGTGGTCCAGTGACCTCATATCTAAAATGGCACCTACTCCCCATATAAATGTTTTGAAGATTAAATTATTTACACACTTAGTAGAATGCCCACCACATAATAAATAAACACATTATTACTAGTTTCAAAATAGTTTATCAGCAGATAGCTATGTGCCAAAGGATATTACTAACTTCATAAATTTTAAACATGTAAAAACTTTTCTGAGTCATGCCTCTAATACCATATATGAACATTTACTGGTTTCTGTTATATGTTGTTTATGACTGATGGGATACCACCAGCTTTATGTTCTGCTCTAAGCAAAATTTAAGATCTAGGGAAAAATGTGTAAGTTATGAAAAATATAAATTTTACCAAAACAAAGAAAGAAAAAGAAGATAGATAATTGAACCTAAGTGACTCAAAGATACCAAATGCTAGAGAGGCACTGGATCTAGTTGCCAGTGAGGAGTGGCACAGTAAGTGGTATTACCTAAGTAGTGCAAAAATGATTAAAAGCAGAAAGAAAGTTAAAGTTCAGTTTTCTTTTCATGTTGCCTTACCTAAGAGGCCCAAAAAACTTGACCAAGGATTCTCGAGTATCTACTTCTGCCACATTTGAGAGAGCAAAATCATAGAGTTCAGGGAAATGGGCAAAAGCAGCTCTCTAGAAAAGAACAGAAAAAAAAATCATTAATTCATACCTATGTGTTAATGCAATCAACTACAATTCATACACTATATAATGAAAATACTGTTTTTAAAGAAATGTTAATGCACTTCTATTTCCTATATGCTTCTCATATGTGACCTCTGCCTTACTCAGCCAGAAGCAATCAATACAATGGGAAAAAACCATAACTGTTCTAGCAGGGATGCAACAACAAAGCCAGTGTTCACTTTCTCATTTCCAACACTGTATTTTGAATATACATGAAAACAGCCAATAAGTCCAGCTACACTGGCAGGAAGGGAGATAAACAAAACACTTTATTATCAAGAACTGGCCTCACGAAAGCAAAAAGTAAGTCCCAAGGGAAATGCCCACTGAAGAGGCAGCTTGAGGACGATGCTGCTCTGAACTCTGGAAAGAGGACCCCACGAGGTACTACCATCTACCAACATGAGGGAAGCTGCACGAAAATGGGAACAACATTACAGTGACTTTGTGAAAGTGTGTGTGGTCACACCCCTCGTCTTCCTTAATGCTCAGGTGTGGCACAGATAAGATCCACAAGTTTTTATGTGCCCCATAGAGGATGACACAGAAAGCTGCCAAGGTTACAGGGGAGCCTGCCCTGGGATTACTACAGGCAAAATGACCCTACATCCCAAGCCTCTGAGAGTGAGTTATCTAAGCTAGGCGGTGAATAAGAGTCAGCTCTCAGGAGAACTCCAGCACCATGAAAGGCAAGGTTGTGGCTCATCAACAGGGAGAAAGCCATGCTCCTTGGAAGCAATCAGCAGACCCTGACTGTGCCAAGAAAACAGACCACGGGCCACACCACTGTGGCTACTTCACGGGCAGAGGCAGCACAAAACCACTAATGGTCTAAGAGAAGCAGGAAAAGATGTCTGAGCTAGGCCACTGTGCAGATCACTCCTTTTTCCAAACTAAGACCATATCTAAAGAGTTTCCATACACCCAGAAACCCATTCTGGGGAAAAACAGGGAGAGGAGAGACTCCTTGAGAAACAACAGAATTGACTGTAAAAGGAAGTACGAACTTAAGTTAGACTGAATATTTACCCAGAAAGAGTCTTTAAAACACAAAGAAATGAATTGCTTTAAATATACAAAAGTTATTTCTGTCACCAGAGGAAATGCAGCTGAAGAGCAAGGTGAGATCAGTAACAGACAACAATCAAAGGTGCTTTTTTGGCATATCAGAACTGTGCTGGTAAATTTTAGCTGTATTGGTAAAAATAAACATTATGTGTTCTTCTATAAAGTGTAAAAAATGCTTACACATACTTGGACATATGTTGAAATATAATTTCATAAACTAAAACTGGAATTTAAATGCACCAAATTAGTCCAGTTAATATTTCTGAGTGTTAAATATCAGTACACTGATTTCCAAGATTGAGGACTATGAAAGAAAACCATTTTTTCATGAATTCATCGGAATTAGTAATATTTTTTAAGTTTAAGATGAAAACACTATTAAATTAGTACCTTTTTCTATCTTAGTACACAAAACCTACATTATTTATAGCTTAACTTATAGAAGCAGAAGCAAAGACTATAATGCACTTCAATTACCTGTAGAGAAGTAATTCTATCATAGTGAATTGTAGTCATCTCATTCTCTGTCAGAGCATTTCCAGTCTGGTCATTAATCTCAAAACCAGTATAGAACTTGAGCATGTCCAAAAGCTTAAAGGAGACATTTAAATTAATAAACTGTATAAACATAAGAGCAAGAAACCATGAACACTATTTACAATAAATAATAAACGAGTCCAGGTACCTTTGCAGAGGTGCCAAAACACTTTTGCAACAAATACTTCAGAACATATCCAAATGTGTTCATTTATGTGAGAATAAAGTCTATGCCTTGTGAATCAAGTGTTAAGTCTATTTCAAATACTATCATATACACGGTCTACTTCTACAAAGAGGAACTTAAAGTGCAATCCCAGTACTGAAGAGACATTAAGGATCTAACCAAAGGCATCCAAACATTTCAGTGAAAAAAACAAACAAAACTAAAGGAAAAAAAGAACCTATCTACATCACTGCAGATTTATACAACTAGACCACCAGACAGAACTCCTGAGGTCTTTTACTTATGCCACTTATAAAAAAAATTTCTGAATGAGGGTTCTGGAATGCCTAACTGGAGATAATCTCCTCTTAAGGAAAAACAGCAAGGTGGGGAAAGCTAAGTTGTTTGTTCCTCTCATCAGTTCCCATGGCCATAAATCCTTCCTTTGGCTTAGTTCCTACTGCTAATGAGGGCCTTGAAATTTGTGCTCATCATCTTTTATATTTCATAGTGGTTACTGACATAAAAGCAAAATACATGAGCATGTGGGACTACATTGCCAAACTCGTAATTTAGTCCAACAATAAAATTGCATGATTAACAAAAGGTTATAATATGTAATTACTAGAGGCTACCTATACAATAATGCATTCATTTTGTATATTAAGACTTGAATTTACCTTAAAATGACTAATTAGGAATTTATATTATTCAATATTTAGCCAAACTTAAAACTTACTTTATGTCATTCCCTGGTACTCTCAGTTGCATGTCAAAGATTAATTTAGGAATGAAAACACTTTAGTATGTTCAGCTACATCAATGTTCACCTGCGAGAAAAGATGGCCATCCTCTTCTCTATGGACAAGATTGGAAAGGTAACAGTGAACCAAAAGGTGGGAGTCATCCAGGATAGTATTAAACCAGCGTCTTGTAGGGAGCAAAGCCTGGAAAAAATAAACACCACTGGAGTTCTCTGCATGTTCTCTGCAGCTAGAGGTGAAGTCTACTGATATTTAACCTGGAAGTGCTAATCACATACAAAGTATCCTCCAGCCTCCCGAAAAAGACACTGCACAAAGCAGGGGGTCTGGCCCAGGTTGTAAATAAACTCAGTGGTAATGTTTCTAAATAAAACCCAGCACTGGAAGAAATCTCAGATATTGTAGACCAGTAGTTTTCAAACAAAATCCTTTATGAAATCCCAAAATGTATTGTGTGTAGGTTTAAAAATGGAGCTCCTTTGAGAGAAAAGCGAGGTGGGACCCTTAAGTGGAGACTCCCTTCTCTGTTTCCTCCTCCCACGTCCCCCTATGACAGTAACTTTGACAATCACAGCCTGAAAACCACTAATCTAATCTAATGCCCTCATTTTATAGACGAATTTACTGAGATCATCAGAAGTTATAAATTAGTTACAGGCAGAGCTAGAATCTGACTGAAGATCTCATGAATGACTGCTGGTCTAATACGCTTATACCCTTATCAAGAAACCACCCTATAGCTCCAGATAAAGAATAAACAGAGAGGACTTTCTTTCAATTTTCTGCATTAACGAGGGAAGAAAAAAGGATTCAATCTGAACTACACCACCTCTATATCTGAACTTTCCATCAAAATCTTGCACCTAATATTATGAAATCTTTTTAAGAATCTTAATTTTTGAAGTTGGCAATAGCAGTTATATCTTCATCAACATTAGACACATTTAGAAAAGTGAGATTATTAAGGGAGTGCCATGAACCCATGACTTCAGCCACTATTAATAACTCCAAAAAGGGGCATTAAAATTTGATAGAAAATAAATTGCCATGGATGGATTCATATTTAATGACTATACTAAAAAATTCTTTTTGTATAACAGCAGCCATCTGACAGTCATCTGGAAACTTCTAGATTCAATTGCTTTCAACTTTCTTCTCTATGTTACACCCTGCAACAAGTACAAACTAAGGCCAGTTTGAGGTAATATACATCTCATATATAGCCATATGCTTTATTTTAGCCCCTTAATGATTATATAACAGAAAACTTACTGTACATCTTACCTCTAGATCAATCATAAGTTCAATGAATCTTTCACAGTAATGAACTTTGTCCATAGTGACAGGTTCTAGACATAACAGAGAAAATGTTAATATTTTCTTACTTAGGCCATTCATTCTATATACTGTATCTTAAAATAGGCAGTTATCCAGTTATTTAAACAAAGTCTTATTCATCAGGATTGGACTATGACACAGAGTAAGGACCTCACCTATATTTCAAAAAAGGCAGGTCTTATCCTTATACTTAGCTCTAAAATATAAGAAAATTAAAAACCTAGCTTGGATCAGAAACATATTTTAAACATCAGAGTGGCAAAAGTATTTTTAAAGTGTTAATTTTTAAAAGTCTATACTGAAAGATTAAATTTTGAAAAGAACTTGGATATATAAAACTAGAAAGGCAGTTTCATATCAGTTCTTGGCCGCCTTTTTTTATTGTCTTCACCAACTAAACTAGAAGTTCTCTCATATGCATAGATACATACATGTGTACATGTATGCATACAAAGATACATATGTTTCTTTAGAATACATAGAAAATGAGTGGGAAAAGATTCACACCAAACCAAATAAAAGGTCAATTTATATGACCTTTTTCCACTGTATGTATATGTATAGATTACTCTTAATATTAAAATGCCAATGACACATATAGCAGTAAAATATTTTTAAATCACTATCTTATTTTATGCTATTCATGAGCATAAGTGTACTGGTCTTAAAAACATTTATATTTGTTTTTAAACAATTACAATCTTGTGACATGAAATACTTTAGAGTATAAATTTTTATTTTCTAATGCCAGGAAATGGTCAACTATTCTACGAGCTAAAATCACCCTGCCAGATCATTTCAATTAGAAAGGAGATAATTTCAAGGTCCTTACCACTGAAGGACTCTCAGCCATGACTAACTCAGTGCTAGACCTAGAGAAAGTGCCCTACAGATGCCTTATTTAATTGATGTGTAGTATACAAAGAAATGGAAGCCTTTATGCAAAGAAATATGAATACTTTTGTGATTAATATATAGAAGTGTTAGCTGGCACATCACTATAATCCAGACCCTTAAATAATATAACCGTAGAATCTCAGAGCTGGAAGAGACCCTAGAAGGAACATCTATTCTGGTTCTTCATTTTCCAGGTGAGAAACGGAGGACCAGAGAAAGCGACTTGATAAAAGTGTAGAACAAAGTAATGGCTGATAAGAGCTGGAATCCAGGTTTTCTGGGACATAGTCAAGGTCATACAGCTGTCAAAACTGAAGAGTTCAAGGCAGAAACGTTTAAATAATCTATTCAAACCAGTTCTCTGGTGCTTTTTGTTACTGTCAAAGGAAAATATTTTTGTCCAAAATTTGAAAAGTGAGGAAACTCTGTATTCTGTATTTTTATTTATAGCTTGAGAAAATTACTGGCAATGGCCCATTTAAAATTAGAACACTGAGCATGGTGCTCAACTTTGGAGCTTTGGTAGATAAAGCTGCATGTTTTTACATTAGTTGGCCCTACCCTACTGGGCATACTGTTTAGAGCTAAAACCTTGTTATTCCAATATCAGACACGAAAATATCCTTATCATTTGCTGCTTATGTCTACTGTGTTTTTCTCCTTTCTTCTGACAGTAGTCCTAACATATCAGATCATTCTATACAGATTTCCTTTATAACAGCTGATATGGCCATGTTGTTTTTAATGACCCTGTAAAATGTAACTATAACCCTCCTCACTCTTTTAAGAATTAGTTTTCCATTTCCTAACTATATAATCCATTCACCTTTATACCCTCTCTGAACTGGGACACTATTTTCATCTTCCTGTTCATTCCTTTACCAGTGAGTTAACAAAGTATCATTAAAGCTCAATATCATCTAAGAAATTTTGTTTTATGACAATATATAAACAACAGCAATAGTTAGTGGTTTACAGGTTGTTAAAATTACCACAGGCCTTATGTTGTTACTTGATTTTCAAACCTTTCTAGATTATCCTAGATAAACATTCTATAGTCAGAAACATCAATTTTAATGACCCTAATTATTGTAGACTTTAGTAGTCCTAAACTATCATTATTACTATTTGTGCCAAGAAAACCAAATGTAAGTCCTCTCTTTTAAATAAAGATTTAAATACACTAATATTAAGTGACTTAGATTATAAGCATATGATAATTTTTTCTTTATACTGATACTGGTAGTAATATTGTACCTCAAATCATTTACAGCTTATTTATAGCATTAACATCTATTCCTTGCTGAGTTATAGGTATGATTTTCAGTTTTAAAATATTTCTTGGAAGGTCAGCAACTGTAAGTAATTCTGCTGTACTTTAAACAAAGCTACAATCTCTGATACAAAAATATAAATATGGCACACCTAAAAAAGCTGCTCTTAGATCATATTCCACTTAGGAAATAAAATATTATTAATCAATGATATATCTTACATAGATTATATACTTCTTTATTACATAAATAATATTTTATTTGTATTCAATAAGTGCTTATAAAGATTGTGCAAACACAGTATAATGTAATTAACTGCTCTAGGTAGACAAGCATATAACACACACACACATCAACATATATAGCATAATCATGGTATACTTTAAAATATATACTATACATACTATATATTTTTATTTCTTTCATCCATAAATGGGGATCACAATGGAGGCAAATCCTTCCAATTTTGTCTTGTAACTCCTATCTCAAAAAATAATTCTCTTTCCCCGCAAACAGTATTTGATATAACTTGAAAACACTGTTCAGCAACATATTTTATATGCCACGTGGACAGGGTCTGTGACTATCTTGTTCACTACTGTATGTCAGCAGCTTGTTTAGGACCTGGGTCTCATAAGCAAGCTCAAAAAATATTTGCTAAATAAACATCTCAATAACCACAATGGTACCTTTAAAATAGATGAATTTTTATAGCAGTCAAAATACTTGGACTGGTTTTATATTTGAAAATGGAGGACATAACTTTGTCATAACAATTTAGATCATTCTAAGAGAAGTTTTTAGACTAGAAATTAGTAAATACTATAGTGGCATCCAAATGATTACTTTGCAAATGAGATGTAAGAGAAGATAGTTACCAGAAGGTGGGACTGATTTCAGCACAGAGATAAATTTCTGGATGAGTTGTGAAAGAAATCTTCTTTCTTGATAGGCTCTAAAATGAGAGAGATAATGCTGACCAAGTTATTGAAAAATAATTATTTCAGAATTAAAATTTAAATGTTGACCAAGCTTTTCTTATACTGTTTAAATGTTCCATTTATCTCTAAAATTATGACCATAATTTGAATACATAACTTCTTTTACTTTATATGTAAATACAGCAGTACATGAAGAAAAGAAGGGGTCTTATTACTGGCCTAATAAGCCAGCTCGGAAAGCACCTTTCTCTTTTACTATAAAAGTTTTCACTGGTCATTTAAAGGTAGAAACTAAAAAGGAGTTTTCAAAATTTCATTTGTAGCCTGTCCTTAGTATTAAAAATCTAATGTTTTAGTATGTAGTTAAAATGAGATGAGTAATTTTGTAGTTTAGCATGTTTGAAGTATTACAATGTCTAAAAATTAAGTCGGTTCAAAAACAATTTTCTACTCATTACTGATTTAAGATGCACTATATGCCAATTAATGAGCAAATAATCATCAGGTATTGGATAGCTGCAAATGATTATGCAAGTCCTGCTGGAAATACAAAGGAGGGGAATGATTAAAACATTTGAAATGACAAGTCACATAACATAATTTGCATTTAATTAATAAAACTGGCTAACAGTAATTGAGCACTTACTGTGCCAGGATCTGAGCTGTGTTAAGAACATCATATGAAAATCTTAGTGCTGACAACAGTCCTATGAAGTAAGTACCATTGTCCCACCGGCATTCGAAGGCTCAATTGGTGAGGTGTGCCCCAAGTTACATAGCAAGGGAGTGTGGAACCTACTTGGATCTGATGGTATAACTTATTTTCTAAACAACTATACATATTCTAAGCATCACACAAATAGCTGGTGTTTCAATAAAGACACAAGGCATGTTTTAGGAACTCAAGAAGAAGAAGAAAGCACTGGGGCCTAAAGTAGTTTGTCTGGAAGGAAGAGTGTTTAGAGGGTTAACCTGCAATTCACTGGAGTGGAAGCAAAGGGTACTGAGGAAAGGAATGTTTAAGAAACAATGAATAGACTAGTCCAGTGAACTGGGGGAGTCACAAGAAACAGAGGTTTTTGAATGCCATTGTAAGGAGTTTAGAGTTCATCCTATGGGAACTAGGAAACCACTGAAAGCTTGGAGAAGGAGCATGGCAAAAGAAAAACAACATTTTCTATGAAGATAGCTAGTTAGGCTTGTTGTTGTGGGAAAGCTGGAAGAAATGCCAAATAGGAATTTATTGTAGTGGTCTGGTCAAGAGGTTGTGAAGGCCTGAATTAAGATGTCAGCAGTGTGAATAGGCAAGAAAGGAGAGGAAGGACAAAAGATGAATCCAATAGGACTGGCTGCCTGGATAGAAAGAACTAGTCCAAGGACTGGAGTGTCCCACACCCGGCTGGCTGGAAGAATTATGAGACACTGGGCAGAAAGGTGGGCTTGGGAGGAAAAAACAATGAGTACTATTTAGTTAAGCCAAACTAGAGTTCACAACAATGAATCCAAACAGAAATATTCAGCAAAGAGTTATACAAAGACAGGAAAGTAGAGAAGGCAGGGCCAGAAAGGTTTATGATTAAATTATATTAAGGTAATGGGAAGAGAGTTCAAAAAAAAATAATCAAATGATGTAAAGATGTTACATTAGTCCAATCAAGAGGCTGTTGGTTGGAAAGATACCATGGAAGACATGAGACTGGAATTGGAAAGTAAAGACGGGATCTTTGTAGTCTACAGACCCTATGAGCAGTGCACCATCCCCTCAGTCACAAACTCATTTCTCTGCCGTGCTTTTTTCAGGTCTTCCCATTTTCAACAGCCACCAGCATTAACACCAGGTTTCATTACTTTTTGTATTACTCTCTTGTCATGGCTTATGAACTTCACTAAATAATCTCACCCACACTCATGGCTTCAAATACTAGCTAACATGTATAGAATACTTTTCCAAGTGGAAGACAGAACGAGAAAGAGCAGAAAGAAGTAATCAAAGGCCCAAGGGAAGTGAGTCCAGAGATCCATAAGTTTGGATACAGTATACAGAGACTCACTGGATAGAAATAGCTAGTCTATTATAGAAATAGCAGAGCAAAAGGAGTGAGTGGGAAAGAGCAATTGAAGATGAAGAAAAAGGATAACTATGGAGCAGTCATGAGGTAAATAAGGCAAGAGCACAATTAGACCTGTTAGCCTCAGAGAGAGAGGAACACAGAGCCCTCCTGCGTCCTAAGAGCATTTTGTTCAATGAAGTAAGTACTTGCTACCAGACTTATCCAACTGATAATATTACTATTAAAATAATCCCTGTCACCTGCTTCTTTAATCCTTACACTTGATTTACCTTTCTCTTCAGCATTATCACCACCTAACATACTACATAATTCACTTAACAATCACTGCGAAGACCCTGTCTTTAATTTCTAACCCCAGTCTCATGATTCTTGCTATCTTCCCCAACTAGGATGTAAGGTCCACAAGAACAGGAAGTACTTTCCATTTTGTTCTCTGTTATATGCTCTCTACCTAGAATAGTACCTGTTATGGACTATGGTTGGAGTATGTATGTCATTGTTAAGAATTGGGGAAGAAGAAAGAGAAAAATTGTATTGTTAGTCTGCAGATAGTGGAGAAAATTGGGAACAATCCATGACAGATATTATGGACAGCAGGCAGGAAGACCAGTGATGCCCTCATCCATGGGGCAGAGAGAATGGAAGAAAGAAAAACACGTTATGTTGTGGCTTCCCCTTTAGACCTTTGTGAAAAATATTCCTATGACAGTATAAATAAAAGCACTTCTTAATCATTTATTTGGTTCATCACTATATAAAGGAAACAACAGACCAGTCCACATCACCTCAGACCAACAACCTGGCATAATAACCCAAAAGGGAACAAAGCTTTGACACATACTGTTCTCTTGCTTCTGGATCCATCTTTTCATCATTCTTTTTAATCAAGTTCCAGAATTTTCTTAGCTTAGGTGTCTTTTTTAATTCTAATTCCAATCGTGCCTGAAAGAATGATGTGATATTAAATCACCAGTAGCCTCAAAGTTTACAAGGATAAAGATTACATCAACCACTAGCTAGTTTTCTAATGTATGGATACAGTATACAGCAATGGCATAAAACCTAAAAGTGACCTGACAAAACCTGACAACTAAGAAACTAATAAGTGTATTTTAAGAAACCATTCAATTCTCTTACTAATAGAAAAAATAAAAGAAACTGCCTTTTCTAGTTAAGATTTGAAGCACAATAATTTTTCTTTTTTCTAAAATTAAGGACTTAAATTTGAAAAATATAAGCATTAATACTTATGAGCATAATCATGGAAATTTTTTAAATGTCTGAAAAACAATGAACATGAAACAGCCATCATAGTAAACAAGAAAATGTCCATGTCACCACAGTCTTTCTTGTGACACTTATCAGCTTTTTAGCATTCAGAACCACACTGAAATTTGATAGTTTTAACTTTACTCCCTAAGATCTGTTCATTTGGTTTTGATACTAGCACATATTATTCAAAAAGATTTGATGAACAAAAATGAAGTTGTTGAATTAAACATGATACAGACCTTCTCCTACAGCTGTATAAAGTAAAAGTTCAAGTCTGTATTTAGTCTCATCCAAAGACATACATAGGAATAATAACCATATTTTACCAAATTAACCCACTTTCTCTATGAGCTCAATAGACATTACTTCACCTTACAATATGGAAATTAGGTGAAACATATTAGCTTGCACACAGAACTTTAAATCTGAAAAAATTACATTTATGAGAAGTTAATGCAGAGTAAATTAGATAAATTTTCTAAGCAGAAAATGGGATTTGGGGATACCATTTTTATCCATATAAAAGGTACACAGTCTAAAACCACATATTTCACTTACAACACATATATACATAAGTTTCTGAAATTAGGTTCTTACAGGCTGTAAGCCCATCCACATGGGGAGGGAGATAAGCTGCTGTACTTGGCTCCGTATCAAGTCCACTTCCTGTTTAAGGCATAAAGAAAACACATTTATAAGCACACCACCTTTTTAACCTCAGTGTTTATATAAGAAGCATACTACCTTTTTAACTCCTGGGGAAAAAACATGCCACCAATACTTTCAAATGGATATTTTAATAGTAAGAAAGTCAATACTTTTTTAAAAAGATAGACAATTCTCATTACTTGCAGTCTGTATTTGTGAATTCACCTACTCATAAAAACATATATGTAACCCCAAATCCAATACCCCTGGGGCTTTCATTCATACACAGACAGCATGAAGCAGTGAAAAATGTTGCATTGCTCAACACACACATTTCTAGGTGAAGTTGAACAAGGTGATGCTTTGCCTTCTTGTTTCAGCTCTCATACTATAAAAAAGCATCCTCTTTTGTGGTCTATTTAGGGGTACCTTTTTTCACATTTTTGTGCTTTTTGTTGGTAATTTTATTATTTAAAATCATCCCCAAGCACAGGGCTGAAGTGTTGTCTCATGTTATTTGCAGAAAGGCTGTGATGTGCCTTACAGAGAAAAATGTGTGTTAGATAAGGTTCATTAAATCATAATTACAGCACTGTTGCCCTGAGTTCAATCTTCACACATCAATAATATATATTACATAAGGTGCCTTTAAACAGAAACACATAAAACAAGGCTATAGATTGATTGGTTGATGAAGACGTGACCAGAGGCTTTCGGGAACCTACCCCTAGGAGCAATGGATCAGTTTTAGCTAATGTAGTCTTTGCAGCTCCTTTATAGACTATAACTACCTCTAACAGCAACAGCATAGTGCGGGAAAAAAGCTTTCAATAGTAAACTAGCTTTTATTAGGTTAATTAAACCTAGCACCAAACTACTAATACTAACTAAATCTTGCTTTTCTTCAATTTCTGATAAGGAATCACATCTATTTATATTTATATTTGCTTTGTTTAGCTTAATAAATGTTAAAGTGGTATAAGTGGCATTGAGTAAGGGCATCATAAGTATTTTATAAATGCCTTTACAAGATCCATATGAGGCAGTACATAGAAACAGATAATAACCATCCACCTGTCACAATCTTCAGGATAAGAAAGAATGCCAGGCATTCTCCTGCATGTGTCTAAGCATACTACCAATTCAGAATCACTTATATTTAAATATCACTTATTTTTTTTTAAATAGGTATCTATCTTGAGATAACCACAGTAAAGAAGCACAAATGAAATATTAATTATTATAAATATTTAATTTTTTAGAAGATACTCTTACAAAGGCTGGAAATGTGTCATATACAACCCAAGAGATTTTCAAAGATCATCCATGGCTGCCCCCAATCAGTCAACTCAAAGCATAACTCTCCTAGTGACCTGCTGGCTGTGCATGAAACATGAGTGAAAAGTAATGAAACTGGGTTTTGTGGGCAGTTTGTGGCATAGATCTCATTATTCAAGGTTCGTATTAACAGACTTTTGCTCCTCTACCTTTGGAGAATTTCAGTTCTCATTATAATGTTTCTTTATAGAGTCTAGAGAGAAAAAGGAGAGCTCAAGACGAAACTATTAAAAAGTGAGCAGATCTTATAAAATGGTTTTATTAAGAAGTGACAGAAATTAAGCTTTTAGCATTATCCTCATTCCCCACTACTATGGATGAAAAGTTGGCTACAAGGTTATCTCATTTATGTCTCACCTAAAAGAACAAGCAAATTTGAAAGTTCTTCCAAAAGATAAAGTAAAATTACCAAGCTATTGAAGCAATGATCAAGAAAAAGCAGTAAGACTGTCTGTTCATGGAGTGAAAATTCACCATCAGTTTCAGCTAATGCTGCCCTCAAGATGCACTTAAAAAAAAATGGGAAGTGGTCTGGCTTCTTCTTAAAAGTCTGAAAACAGAAAGAATAAAAATTCATTTTGAAATGGTTTTCTCACCTCTTTTTCTCCCCTAAAGACATATTGGTAGACTTTTAAGGAGTCTATCAACAAAACCAAATAATTACACATATATTATCTACTTACTTACAGGTTAAGGGTAGCAAGTTGAATATAGGTTTGTGGAAGGAGTATGAGAGTTGCTGAAACCTTAAGCTAATAAAATAATGGTTTCATTAATTCCTCTATTTTTTCTTTTGTGGATTATGCCCATATTCAGCTTAGTTTTTGTTTTGCTATTAAGGATCTTCAGTGGTTTAATTCTTCTGACTTAAACAAAAGAAACATCTTCAGCAAAAATTAGTTTTCCACCAACTAATCTCAAAGACAACCTCTCTTCTGCTTTATATTAGCTTTTTACTCTTCACATGTAAATAATGTTAAAAAAAAGGTAAACCATGGAAATATATTCAAATTTCTCTTTGATTTCCTTCCCTATCTAGTTACTGGCACATTTCTTATTTCACAGACAAGTCCTCCAAATGTGTGTGGTCTGCACTGGTTGTTTCATTCTCTTCTCTAACACAAGCTTCCACCCACAGTGCTCCCTTCAGTTTGTTACAGCTGTCAAGTGCACTGGACTCTTACCAACCCTCAGTTCCTTTTCAAAGTGCTAAAAGTTCCCCTTCCTTTGGCACTTAAACAGCAGTGTTCTAGAGTTCTAGACTCCTTCTTCTATTACTTCAACTGCCATATGCTGATTCCAAATACACATTTTCAGTCCAGATACTCTCTTTAACTATACATCCTAAGATTCTTCTACTAGACAATGTCATCTAGATATTTCAAAGGCAATTTAAGCTCTATAAACTCAACTCAACAATTTTATACTCTTTCCAAGTATTGTTCAACCCTCTATTCCCTATATTGGTAAATGACATCATTATCTATTATATTCAGTTGCCCAAGCCTGGAAAGTTACTGAAAATAACACACTACTCTAATGCTACTTCAATTATCATATCTAATCAATTCTACTTTTTAAATATGTGTGTAACTTCTCCTCTTAATCTGTATTGACATTTTTATGTTTCAAGCCCTAACAACAAAGTGATCTTTATAATAAGCCAACTGATCAGGTCATTCTCTAGCTCAAGAAATTTTCCCTCTCCCTTCCTACAGCAGTTTGAAACAACTCTGAGAAATCCTCTAAGATCTCTCAATAAAACAGTTGGCCCATCATTTACTTTGGGCTCTTATCTGCCCAAAGATGGCACTTGATGAATATTTGAGAGAAGTAACCATGGCTTTATCTTAAAAAGTCTAACACTAGACTCACAGACTTCAAGAAGGGACTAGTGGTTACCAAAGGGAAGGGGTTGGGGAGGGAGGGAGAAGGGGACTGAAGCACACTATAATTCACAATCACAACATAGGTAGGTCATGGGGAAGGCAGGACAACATGGAGAAGACAAGTAATGTCTCTACAGCAACTTACTACGCTGATAGTGACTGCAATGGGGTATAGGACTTGATAATAACATGGGTGAATGTTGAAGCAACAATGTTGTTTATGTGAAACATTCATAAGATTGTACACCAATGATACTTTAATAAAAAAAAAAGTTTACCACTTTCATACTTTGTAGACCATTCCATCAAAAAGATGACAAGTACCCAAGTATTTTCATTTAAAAAAGCATGACTGGAGCTGCAGTGGAGTGTGTGGGGGAGGACTTGATAATAGTATGGGTGAATGTAGTGACCACAATGTTGCTCATGTGAAATATTGGTAGGATTGTATATCAATGATACCTTAATTAAAAAAAATAAAAGCATGACTGGGAGGGAAGAAATTCCTTCGATGATCTGACCATTTCATGGTGGCTAAAACACATCCCTAAATTTTGCATCCCTACTGACCAAGCCTCTATTATACTAGCACAAAGAGAAAATGTCCATTAGAAATGTAAAAAGATGAAACAGATGCCAAATCAGGGATAAAGAAATAAATGAAATTATAATATAAACCCATGACTTAGGAAACACTCTGTATTCATGTAAAACTACAAAATATGTACTCTCTGTTGTGAAAAAGAACAATCAAAAATATTATTTCATTTGCACACTATTTGCAGTAATATAAATTTCACATTATCTGATATTAGAAGTCTATAATCCATGCCATTTTTTTGTTTCAAGCACAATAGAAAAGTAACTCCACATTAATAATTTCTTAAATTCGTAATGAATTAGTTTGAAAAAAGTATTAAAACCAAAATAAAACTATTATTTATCATATACCCTTTTTCCCCTCAGTGTTTACTTGATTACTGGGTAAAATTTTATTCTAAAAGCATTATTTATCATCAGTAAAAGTTCTGCTACTTTGTAATGGCATAAGCAAGCATACTGTGAAATCTCTGAATTAATTTAAATCTGTTACCTCCCATGCAGGGACATTTTCTCTGAACTTCTCATTCACCATACAGCAGATTGACATTAAATAGGCTTTGCTGGACACCTCTGGAGAATAATTCATCCAGAGGTAATTTTCAAGATACTGGCTGTGAAGAGTGAAAAGGCAAAGAATATTTAGTTATCACCACTCACTTTGCCACCTGGAAAAGTATCATTTTTACAAATTTCTGAAAACATCTAGAAAATCTATATAATTTGAAAAGGGAAGGGGTTGGGGAGGGAGGGAGAAGGGGACTGAAGCACACTATAATTCACAATCACAACATAGGTAGGTCATGGGGAAGGCAGGACAACATGGAGAAGACAAGTAATGTCTCTACAGCAACTTACTACGCTGATAGTGACTGCAATGGGGTATAGGACTTGATAATAACATGGGTGAATGTTGAAGCAACAATGTTGTTTATGTGAAACATTCATAAGATTGTACACCAATGATACTTTAATAAAAAAAAAAGTTTACCACTTTCATACTTTGTAGACCATTCCATCAAAAAGATGACAAGTACCCAAGTATTTTCATTTAAAAAAGCATGACTGGAGCTGCAGTGGGGTGTGTGGGGGAGGACTTGATAATAGTATGGGTGAATGTAGTGACCACAATGTTGCTCATGTGAAATATTGGTAGGATTGTATATCAATGATACCTTAATTAAAAAAAATAAAAGCATGACTGGGAGGGAAGAAATTCCTTCGATGATCTGACCATTTCATGGTGGCTAAAACACATCCCTAAATTTTGCATCCCTACTGACCAAGCCTCTATTATACTAGCACAAAGAGAAAATGTCCATTAGAAATGTAAAAAGATGAAACAGATGCCAAATCAGGGATAAAGAAATAAATGAAATTATAATATAAACCCATGACTTAGGAAACACTCTGTATTCATGTAAAACTACAAAATATGTACTCTCTGTTGTGAAAAAGAACAATCAAAAATATTATTTCATTTGCACACTATTTGCAGTAATATAAATTTCACATTATCTGATATTAGAAGTCTATAATCCATGCCATTTTTTTGTTTCAAGCACAATAGAAAAGTAACTCCACATTAATAATTTCTTAAATTCGTAATGAATTAGTTTGAAAAAAGTATTAAAACCAAAATAAAACTATTATTTATCATATACCCTTTTTCCCCTCAGTGTTTACTTGATTACTGGGTAAAATTTTATTCTAAAAGCATTATTTATCATCAGTAAAAGTTCTGCTACTTTGTAATGGCATAAGCAAGCATACTGTGAAATCTCTGAATTAATTTAAATCTGTTACCTCCCATGCAGGGACATTTTCTCTGAACTTCTCATTCACCATACAGCAGATTGACATTAAATAGGCTTTGCTGGACACCTCTGGAGAATAATTCATCCAGAGGTAATTTTCAAGATACTGGCTGTGAAGAGTGAAAAGGCAAAGAATATTTAGTTATCACCACTCACTTTGCCACCTGGAAAAGTATCATTTTTACAAATTTCTGAAAACATCTAGAAAATCTATATAATTTGAGACTCCTTCACAAATTTACCTGTAATCTAGGCTATTGCTACCCACTGCAAGCTTACAGGCAGCAACTTTAGCTTTAGAGAATGAGAATCTTATACCTTCAAGTAGGAAGACATCAAAGGGTACCAACAAATAAAATTACCACAGTGAAAACACTACGTCTTCCTTTTTATCTAAGGCTCTTTGTGTGGTAGAAAACAAAAATATTTGACAAGTATCAGCTCTAAAACAAAATATGATGGGCAGTTTGAAAGATAAATGTTTCTGAAACATTAATACTACCTGACAATAGAATCTAACAACTTCCAGAACCGAGGGAATGGCAATCAAAAAGAAAGTTTGTAATATTTAACTTACAAGGTATACAACATGTCAGTTTTCAAGGTCGCTGACATTTTCCTCTCACAATGTCAAAATTCTTATTTTAAGACTGTGGTGAAAATAGTCCTAAACAAAGTTAAGTACTTCTGATTTCTAAAATACAACTTAGTTGTCATGTCTCATCATTAAGGATAGTTATAAACATCAATTGTGTACTGGGGCAGGACTTTTTGTTCCTACTGTAAATCAATCCACAAGCATGTTTCATTCACTCACTCATTCGCTTACACCCAGCCGCCTTCTCTAAGTCATCTCACTTTCTACTCCAGCTAGCAAGAGATCATCAATTATCTCTGTTACAAACTGGTTACGTTTGGAGGTTGGCACACAGAAAATGGCATGCTTATAAATAAGTTAAATTTACATAAAAGTTAACAAGCCTTTTCAGTTATTAAAAATCTTCCACTCTCATTGGGGCCTTCAATCTGTTCCGTTGCCTTCTTCTTCAGTTCCTGCAATTCTCCAGGTTTCTGGTATTTGCCTGTATTGCAGAATTCTGGTTTTATCCTAATTGCATATCAGTATCCTCTTAATTAACTGCATATCAGTATCCTCTTAATTTTAATATCTTTTTGAAAGAAGGCATGATATGATGGAATTGTGCCATTAATCTGAGGGCCAGAGGCTTCCAATTTCTAGACTCAGTGTTCTCCACCATAAAAATAAGGAAGACCTTACTGGGGTTACTGTGAGTTGTAAATGAGATCAAGTATTTAATAATAACATAGTTCTTAGACGATAGTAGGCATTCAACTTACTAGTTAATTCATAATTATAAATTTCAATTTACTTCTATAAAAAGACAGCCTACTTCATACCATTTTTGTTACGATCAAATCAGTGTATACAGGAAGTAATAGTTGTTAACTATTATTCTGACCCCTGATGGGGACTAGACGTAAAGGTAGTGTAGAGAAGTGGAAAAATTATGAACTTTGTATGGCAGCCCAGCTCTGCCAATTACTTAAATGCATTATCATGAACAAATGGTTTAAATTCTCTGATCTCAGTTCCTTCTTCTGCTAAATGTAAATAGTAACACTTATTAAGAGTTGCTGTGAGTGCTCTTTATGTAAAATATTTAACACTGTGCCTAACACTAAGCAAGTGTTCAATAAGTGGTAAATATTACTGTCATCAACAACAATCCTGTGGCTTTTATTTGCAGCCTACTGGCCAGACTTGGTTGTAACATGATCTAATCTACCTTCATAATCTAAAAATTGTATGTTCTGTTTTGTCTGAAATATTTGTAAGTGCCTAGGTCAGAACAAGGCTGCCTTGGGAATAACAACTTAGCATGGCAGGAAAAAAAATGGATAAAGAATGCTCTCCAATATTCTCTAGCTGATCACTAGAGAAACCAAGTAAAAGTGCAGAAACTGTTCAGCCATATACTATCTTAACCAGTGAGAAACAACTCAAAATACAAGTTATACTGATAATGAAGCATCATCTTTGAAAACAAAGGATATCACATACATACTCCAAAGTAAGCCAATCACAAAAATGCAAACCTTAAAAAATTCAGAGTCATTTTCTTAACCACTCACAGAAATGTACAGAAAATGTGGCTGAAAGTTAAATCATGTTATCATCTTGAACTTCATTAAAGCAAAGCCCTTTAACTCACCTAAATTCCAATAGCATTATCTTTCTGATGGCAAACCTAAAAAAAAAATTAGTAACAACTGTTTAAATAGAAAACATTAGAGGTATTAACATGGATACATTTTGGTATCCTGTTTTAATACTGACTCATATCAGAATCATATTTTAATATGCACTGAAAAACACTGATTTTGCTTTTATATTTTTTTGTTTGTATTTTGTCAGGGTGCTTTATTTCATTCATTTCTAAAAACTAAGAAGTTACTTAAGTGAAATCTTATACTATCCACATAATAAAAACTATCAGCACTATTACATACTGAGATACAACACAAATATTAGTAGGCCAAACAATTTTAATGAAAACACAATTGTTCATCATCATTATTCATAATAATGGACCACAAGTACCAAAAGCTAGGTTGTCTCAGTTTCTTACACACTGACCAACATTCTTTCATTTAACTTTCAAATGGAAACATTCTGAAGTCATGCCCTCCTAAAAGCACAACGTGTCTATATTACAAACATGGGAATCAGACTTTTCACAGGCTTTGTAGTCTCAATAGTAAGTCTAAAATATTAGAAAATTGTAGATAGGAAATAGCAGATATTTCTATTATACTTTTTTAAAAAAATAGAAGTACTTTGTTTTATATGAAAAAATGATGCTGTACAGCCCAGTTTGAAAAAGACATATGCACCCCTATGTTTATTGCAGCACTATTTACAATAGCCAAGAAATGGTAGCAACCTGTGTCATCAGTAGATGAATGGATAAAGAAGATGTGGTGCATATACACAATGAATATTATTCAGCCATAAGAAGAAAACAAATCCTACCATTTGCACAACATGGATGGAGCTAGAGGGTACTATGCTCCGTGAAATAAGCCAGGCGGAGAAAGACAAGTACGAAATGATTTCATCATATGTGGAGTATAAGAACAAAGAAAAAACCGAAGCAACAAAACAGCAGCAGAATCACAGAACCCAAGAATGGACTAACAGTTACCAAGGGGAAAGGGACTGGGGAGGGTGGGTGGCAAGGGAGGGATAAGGGCGGGGGGAGGAAGGAAAGGGGGCATTATGATTAGCATGTATAATGGGGGGGCACGGGGAGGGCTGTGCAACACAGAGAAGACTAGTGATTCTACAGCATCTTATTATGCTGATGGACAGTGACTGTAATTGGGTTTGTGGGGAGGACTTGGTGATGGGGGGAGTCTAGTAAACATAATGTTCCTCATGTAATTGTAGATTAATGATACCAAAAAAAAAATTAAAAAGATGCTGTAGTTACCAGGTATCTCTCAAAAGACAGGTTCGAATGACCACTAATTTAGTTTTATCATTTTGTATATTAGAAAAAAATAGCCAGACCAGAACACAGTCACTAAATAACAGGCTACAGTTTTGAAAATCAAATGTGTATGCATTATGAACTTATATCCTAAGAGACCATTATCCCATCAAAATCCTATTCCAGTGATTTCTGATCTCTTAAATAGTTTCACTAAGCAAGCAATTTCACAGAACTTTAGTGAGAATGAAATGAAGATTTTTACTGTGCAAAAGCAC